CATTTCCCACTACAAAACATGCAAAAAAGTGCAAAATATTCAAAGACTGTTCCCCAAAGCGGATTTTTGCGGATTTTGGATATGTTGTTCTATGACACATCTTGCATGCTCATCTAATGTAAATCGTCTTTATACCATTTATTTCCGGGTCAAAATGCTCTACTAGCATGCAGACTATATATGTGTGTATATATATATGTGTGTTGGATGTGTGTGTGTGTGTGTGTGTGTGTGTGTGTGTGTGTGTGTGTTGGATGTGTGTGTGTGTGTGTGTGTGTGTGTGTGTGTGTGTGTGTGTGTGTGTGTGTGTGTGTGTGTGGATCCGGAGTGAAAAAGTGCGGGGTTTGCTCCACTCAGCAAAATTGTGGGGCCCACTGACCTTTGACCTCATTCAATCTTATTTCCACCTATCAGCGCGCACCGTTCTCTTACGGGTCGACAGCGAACCTCGAGTTTCTCCGTTCGTCGGTCATCTGTTTGGAATCTATTACTTTCTCCTGCTCACGCTGTTCTTCCTCAGTACGATACTCATTCTAGTCGCCAATATAGAGACATCACTCTGTGATCAATTTTCCCAGGTATGCTTTTTCTACATGGGTTACTCACTGATTATTTTTTTGATTATTTTTGATTATTTCTTTGGTTCTTTGATTATTTCTTCGTGCAAATTTTGTTAACGTTTGAATATTATAATTAGTTTTGTATGTAATGTATTACCCTATATGTGGCATCATCACATTTGCAGCCACCCTCTATTGTGACGTCACCGCCATGAAGATTTTGAATGTTGACCTGTAAATTTAATTAACGTTCGTTTAGTATTTTACCTCATGGGATAACCGCCCTTTTTTTAACCACCCTGTGCAACGATATCACATCTGCGATGGTTATAGATATTGATATATAAATGTATTTATTCCATGTTAAAATATCACAGTTAGCTTTGTTCATAACAAGTATATTTACCCTATGTGAGGTTTTATATTGAGGCACTGGGTACATTCAGAAGGCGAGTGATTTTCCACGCAACGATATGTTGTACATTGCTCATAGCTGGACTGCCAGTGACAACCGACGTGAGTTACTATAATTTAATCAATTGTATTTATCACTATTACACCGAATGTCTCTGGCGTTGATAGATTGGTTCGCAGTTGTCATTAATTCTCGGTATATCAATTACTGTGTTGTAGAGGACAGAGCCACCTTGACCGTCTAGACAACAATTTGTTATCTCACTTATCAAATACTACATGCTTTTGTATTTTGACTAATTGATACGAATTCTATGAGAGCAGGGAACAAGACGAACTTAACATTTGTTACTGTCACGTATTTCAGAATAGATTCAGTATTGTAAGCATAATACAGCGCTTTGAAGGCAGGTGGCAGGGACCTCTCTTTCTCTGTCTTCAGGGCATTGCATTTGCAATGATTTACAGTAAGCAAAATTTTATTCTTGAGTATATCTTAACAGATGCGTTTATCTTAATATAAACCAGTTTGTATTTAATGTACAACTAATACCGTGTATTTATATTTCTTATTTACTTTTAATAATGTTCGACTAAACGCGAATGAAACTCGTGCTGGCACTTATCAAAACCATCATCACGCATCGGCATATTGCCATTATATCTGACATTATTATCATCCTAATAATCATCTTAATTCTAATCGCTGTTGTTGTCTACGCCTTTGTTGTTATCGTCGTAATTACCCTAATAATTTTCTCTTCCATTTGGTTCCTCTGTCACAAGGTCAGTCTGAGAACACGTACACCCTCAATAAACTCTGAGGTCGGTCTAAGAACACGCACACCCTTAATAAACTACAAGGTCAGTCTGAGAATACGTACGTACACCCTTAATAAACTATGAGGTCGGTCTAAGAACACGCAAACCTTTAACAAACTACGAGGTCAATTGCAGAACACTTACATCTCTACTGCACACTACACTTATTACACTCACTATACACTTACATCCCTCAGAACACTTACATCCCTAACAAACAACAAGGTCAGTGTAAGAACATGTACACCCGTTTGTTTTTTACATGGCTGATTTTGTCGACATGCCAAGCGTAGCAGCTGCTTCTTGTTTTAGCTGTAAAAGGATACCCTTCCGTAAATAAATCGGTACGTTTATTAGGAACCGATTCGTGATCGTTTATATTAGACAGCGATACGTCACCTGCTGTGGGGTTACTGACAGCAACAGCAGCGGTAACAGCAGCAGCAACAGCAGCAGCAGCAACAGTAACACTAGCTGTACAAAATACACAATCTACAAAATACACAATCTACAAATGTACGACCAGGGGTAAAAATTCAACCATGGCTGCAGCCAGGGCACATATAAAAAGTATATGAACACAGAAAAGTACATAGCAAATATTAATAATAATCTGGAAAAATACTATGGTAAATGGTCAGCTGTTTATAATTCTCTGTAAGGAAAATAAATTCGCTATCCTGTACTACTGTTGAACCCATTTGCACACGTATATCTTTGTATTAATATACAGTAATCGAGAATGATATATAGGATAGAATACCATGTAATAGATACCAACTCTTCTCTGTATGTATGTACTGTGTATAATCATGATTCTGGAAATAAAGCATTAGAAAAAAATAAAAAACTAACACTAGCAGCAGCAGCAGCAGCAGTAGCAATAGCAGCAGCAGCAGTAGTAGTAGTAGCAGCAGCAACAACAACAGCAACAGCAGCAGCAGTAACAATATCAGCTGCAGCAGTAGTAGCAGCATGTGTGTGCGTGTGTCTGCATGCATACGTGCGTGCATACGTGCGTGCGTGTGCGTGCATACGTGCGTGTGTGCGTGCATACGTGTGTGTGTGCGTGCATACGTGCGTGTGTGTGTGCGTGCATACATGTGCGTACCTGCCTGCATGAAAAGCGCTAGCAGTGTGCGTGCGCGACTCCCTCCTCTCCCCCTTCCCCTCCTGCGCCGCTAACCCCTCCCCCGTCTGTCTGTTGCAGCTGTGGTACGTCGTCGGCAGCATGGTCATACAGAGCCTCGTGCTCGGCTACGGAGTCGACACGGCGATGGCGAGTCACGGCAGCTTCACGCACAGCTGCCTGCGCGACAGCGTCATCACAGCGCTATGGAGATTCGCCATCAACATCTGCTACACCGTCGTCATCTTCTCCTACTCCGGCTTCTACGCGCTCGTCTGGTCAAAGGACGTGTCGGCCGTGCATTACGGAGGCGCGTGTGTGTGTGTTTGTTTGTGTGTGGTGTGTGTGGTGTGTGTGTGTGTGTGTTGTGTGTGGCGTGTGTGGTGTGAGTGTGGTGTGTGTGTTGTGTGTGTGTGTTGTGTGTGGTGGGGTCGTGATGGAACGTGTTGTGCTGGTTGTGTGTGTGTGTGGATCCGGACCGAGGTGAAAAAGTGCAGGCGCCGCGGGGTTCTGCTCCTCAGCTTCCGAAGCCAAAATTCGTCTGGGGGCCCGCCCACTGACCTTTGACCTCATTCATCTGTATTTCCAACCTATCAGCGAGCATCGTTCTCTTACGGCTGTCGCCGCGAACCGGTCTCCGAGTCGTTCGGGCATCTGTTGGGAATCTGTTACTTTCTCTGCTCACGCTGGTTCTTCTTCAGTACGATACTCATTCTAGTCGCCATATAGAGCAGAGCCATCACTCTTGTGATCAATTTGTCAGGTATGCTTTTCTACATGGGTTACTCGACTGATTATTTTTTTTGATTAATTTTTGATTATTTCTTTGGTTGCCTTGATTATTTCTTCCGTGGCAAAGTTTTGTAACGTTTCGAATATATGAATTTAGTGTTGTATTGTATGTATTTCCCTATATGTGTCAATCATACATTTTGACACGGCCACCTTATTGTGACGTCACCGGCATGAAGATTTGAACTGCGCTTTGGAGACCTGTAATTTAGTACACGTTTCGTTTGTATTTACCTCATGGGATACCCGCCCTTTTTATAACCACCTGGCTGCAACGATATCACAGTCTGCGATTGGGTATATAGATATTGATATATTAAATGTATTTTTCATGTTAAATATCAAGTTAGCGTTGTTCAGAACAGTCGTATCTTACCCTATGTGGAGGTTTTATATTGAGCCACTGTGGGGTTAATTCAGAAAGGCGAGTGGTTTTCCAAACGCAACGAATCCTATGTTGCTACATTGCTCATAGCTGGGACTGCAGGTGACAACGACGTGTGAGTTACTATACATTGAATCAATTGTATTTATCACTAGTACACCGATGTCTCTGGGGTTTGATAGATTGGTTTGCATCGCAGTTGTCATTTATTCTCGGCTTATCAAATTACTGTGTGTAGAGCGACAGAGCCACCTTGACCGTCGTAGACAAATTGTGTTATCTCACTTGATCAATACTTACATGCTTTGATTTCTGAGCGAATTGATAGAATCTATCAGAAGAGCGGGGATACAACAGACGAAACTTAACCATTTGGTTACTGGCACGTAGTTCAGGAATAGGATGTCGTAGTTTGATAAAGCATATACGGCGCTTTGAAGGGGCAGTGTGGCAGGACTCTGTTCTCTGCTTGTCCTATCAGGGCATTGCATTTGAAATGATTCAGGTGAAGGCAGGAATTTTATTCTCTGTAGTTAATATCTTACGGATGCGTTTATCTAATAATAACCAGTTTGTATTAAGTGTCAACTAATGACGTGTATTGTTATTTTCTTTAGTGTACTTTTAATAATGTAATTCGACTAACGCGAACTGAAACTCGTGTCCGGCATTTATCAAAAACATCCTCACGCCTATCGCGGCATATTGCCAGTATATTGCCTTATTATCATCTAACCGTTCCCTATTATCATTCTTTAATCAGTCTATTCGCTGTTGTTGTTCTACGCCTTTGTTGTTTATCGTGCGTTAGATTTACGCCTAAATGAATTGTCTCTTCCATTTGGTTCTCTGTCGCTTATTCTCTTTACCACTCTCGCCCGCGTTCTCTCTTCTCTCTCTATCTCTGCTCTCTCTCCTCTCTGCTCTTCTTCCTTCTCTTTCTCTGTCTTCTCTTTCTCTGCTCTCTTCTCTAATAGGTATTATACTATTTTATTAACTTTTATGTATTAGCAGCAAGGGGATCATTTAGGTAGATTTAGGTCAACATCGTGTTTTTTCTCTTTTAGATTACACTTTCTGTGGTCCACGTGCGATATATCAAATATTCCAGTAGATTCTTGGACGCAGACTTGATCATAACATCATCCTGGACATTCTCTGGGTGTCTCTTACACCGATGGTGCTATTCGTAAGTTCGCGTGTTCCTGCGTAGTAAACATACATGTATTATGTGTATTATGTGTGTGTTATATGTATTACGTATATGCGTAATTTACGAGAACAGGTGGTCATACAAATACGCAGAACATTACGTGTTCTACTGCGGAAATTGTTATACGCATATGTGCCCTCTTCGATTTGATATGTGTGTTAATATAATAGTATGCCTCACAATTCGAATTTGCAATTTGTAACATTGAAATGTATCGACATATACGCCTTATACATATAAGTAACACACACACGCACGCACACGCGCACGCACACACGCACGCACGCACGCACACACACACACACACTTATTTATTTATTTATATGCTCAATATCAACAATTATAGCGTGTTTATCATTGGTTAGAAAACCTGTTGCAGTTGCTGGTGTTTACCACGTGGTGGTTCTGGGCGGAACAGGACTACGAGTTGTGGCACACGAGAATGCTGGAAGAGAAGGTGATCGAGATAGTCTTCTACGCTGTTACGAGTGGCTTAATCCCACTGTGGGCTCTTATGTGGTCACTTTACTGCCTAATCATAGAACCTGGTTCATGTTGTGAGGTGAGAGTTTTACAAAGGTTGCCTTCTACATTTGGTGGATGTTTTGTTTAGCATGGTGAACATACTGGTGAAAGGAATTGTTTATCGGAAATGATTTCTAAATTTAATTGCTTTGATTTATTTTGATATCAATAATTATATATCTTTACTGCATAGCGGTTTAATATTTCTAACCATATCCAGGCACGAACATTGATAACTTTTGTAGACGCTCTACAGAAATAGATTTTTCCCATCTTAATTTGTTGCTGGTAATTATTTCATCATAAATTTTGACACGATGCAAGGAAATAACTGTGAATATAAAATATAAATCTAGATGATTGTAATAGTAGACCCCAAACCCTGGGAATCACTCTTCTAAAATAAAGACAAAGAAAAGAAATAATTTCACATTGGTTATTGATAGAACTATAATTTACACGAAGTCGATAACGATAACTAGATAAAGTAAACAATGAAATAGGCTAACCCCCGTGTGCTTGTGTTTTTTACGGATCGGCTATTATGTTCAGTTGAAAGGAAGCGAAAAGAGCCCAAAATTTAAACATTTTCTCATACAATCCGCAGTGTTGATCTGACAATTTCATCAATTTTGGCTCTCTTCTTTTTCGGACGAGTCTCTTTTGCTATGAATAATATTTATTATGAGGTTGTCTCTGAATTCTCAAATGATCGACTGGAT